TTATTTATTAATTATGTTCACCTGTCCAAAAAAACTTTTGAATTATATCAATGTACTGCATGTTAACTATGCTAACTAAAACAGGAGCATCTAACTGACAGGCTTGTAGATGAATGAACAAAGTGTTCAAAGAGAGGCAAGACATGCTACAAAGAGCGCTGACTTGATTTGTAATGGCAGATGGAGATAAATATGGACAAGCTAGGAAGTGAGCCTGCCACTGTTTGTGGACGTTATGAACCACACATAGAGGAAACGATTCTCCCGTTGCAACTCAAAACCGATAGGTTGCCAATTAGCATGTAAGTGAGTTAGCCTTTGTCAACAAGATATAAGTTCGCTAACATTAGTGCCTCCATTAAATTACATCAAAAACTATGCTAGGTGCAGAGCAAATAACATGTTAGCATTAGGTTGTGGCGTTCTAATGACCATTTCTATTTTGTTTTCATCCATTTTTTTCCATCCATCCATTTTCCTCCGCTTATCCGGGGTCGGGTCACGGTGGCAGCAGGCCAAGCAGGCTGACCCAGACTTCCCTTCCCCCGCAACATTTTCTAGCTCATTCCGAGGCGTTCCCAGGCCAGCTGGGAGATGTAATCCCTCCAGCGTGTTCTGGGTCTTCCCCGGGGTCTCCTACCAGTTTGGCGTGCCCGGAAAACTTCCAGTGGGAGGCGCCCAGGAGGTATCCTGATTAGATGCCCGAACCACCTCAGCTGACTCCTTTCGCCGCGAAGGAGTAGCGCCTCAACTCCAAGTTCCCTCCTGATGTCCGAGCTCCTTACCCTATCTCTAAGGCTGAGCCCGGCGACCCTACGGAGGAAACTCATTTCGACTGCTTGTAGCCGCAACCTTGTCCTTTCGGTCACGACCCAGAGTTCGTGACCATAGGTGAGGGTCGGAACGTAGACCGACCGGTAAATCTTCACGAAGACGGTCCGGTGCAGCGCCTGCTTTACTGCTGCAGCAGCACCGATCCACCTGTCGATCTCCCCCTCCATCTTGCCCTCACTCGTGAACAAGACCCCAAGATACTTGAACTCCTTCGCTTGCGGTAGGTATTTTGCTTTCAGTTTCTAAGATTTAAGTCAGCTTATTGCGAAGCCAATAAAAATCAAGTTTGTGATTCTTTGAGTTAGACCATAATGTACGAATGTAGCTAAGTGGAGAGCAGGGCCATCCTTCAATCAGAGGATCGGCGGTTCGATCCCCGGCTCTGCTAGTTGCATGTCGATGTGTCCTTGAGCGAGACACTTAACCCCAAAAATTGCTCCTGTAGTTATGCCTATGGTGTAGAAATGTGATAGAATCTGAATTGTAAATTGCTTTGGATAAAAGCATCTGCTAAATGACTGTCATGTATTGTAATATACAGGCCCTGGTTGACTCCTGTAAATGTCAGAACACAACATGCTGTGTACACCATGATACCAAAAGTGCTGTGGGACAGCTGGGGATTAAGCTAACCAATTAACGTCAACATGTCTTCATGAACAGCTGCCGAATCTAAAAACACACACTCTCAAAGAGAGGAGTGTTGCTGCCACATAAAGAGGAATGTGGCTGTGTCACAGCATCAAGGGACATGGTGAGATATTATGATGCCGACGCCAATTATTATAATAAACAAGGGATTTTATTCTTTATCCTGAGCAAAAATAAATAGACAAACTGTTGCATGTATGAAAAGCATAGAAAATACCAAATTAGAAAGGGTGACAAATTAATCACCATCCATCCAACACATCCAATAGTGATAGAAGGACAAAAGCGTATTTTTTGTAAACAAAACACTTATTTTTTAACTTTCTGGGTTATCTGACTAACAGAACACACATCATATCAGTGCTCTTCTACCTCTGTATAACAATGGTTACATGGTGAGACTAGAGGGAAAAGGGTGCCAACTGCTTTTTCATATATTATTATTTAATAGTGCAAGGACTAACGCGTTGACAAAGTGTGCATAGAACTACAGACTCAAGACTCACATGACTGAAATGAAAGCAAAAACATTCATGACATAACTGGTAAAATCCCAGAACACTAAAAAAATAAATACAGCAGCGTACAGCAGTCCTTGCATAACCTTGAATATTTAATTGTTAGGCCTGTGCACTGAAAGGAGTCGTCAACTATATAAAATAAGTAGTGGATTGACACAGGAATGTGAAATGTTCAACACCATCATTTTAAAAGTCAGAGTTCAAAATACTTACCCTGATGAACTTGAGACTTAATTTGAAATCGGGGCAACCTATGGGTCTGAATAGTGCAATGTTGAAGTGCCTTTAACATGCATCCTTTCTCATGCCCACCAGGAGGCGACTCCTCTGGTTGCCAAATGATCTATGAGAAAATTACAGTACCTCTCACTTGATCTATTACCTCAGTAAACATTGTAAACATGAGTTTATGGTTTCAATTGCTAGTTTCAAGTCTTCTCCAATACAGCATGATGTCCATTTAATAAATTAAGGTCCCATTTAGATTAAAATAGACAATAAAGCAGGGTATGCTATAGGGTGGGGCTACCTTGTGATTGACATGTCGCTACCGCGGTGTTGTCCGGTCCCGGAGTTGTTTGTGTTTTCGTCTTAGAACTTCAACCCTTTCACAGTGTGTTTTTGTTCATGGAAGTCAATTGTAACATTTTTAGTAGCCTAAAAATATCATCATTATTCAGCGTTCGGTTGTAGCTCCTGAATTCTTGTGTCTCTTCTGGTTGCAAAAAATCAAGATGGCTACGGCCAAAAACCAAGATGACGATCAAAACTGGACACTTCAAAACTGTATTCAACAAACCAATGGTTGACGTCACGGCGACTACGTCCACTTCTCAAATACAGTCTATGGTTGAAACTTGGTTGGAAAGACGTCAAACTTGTCTTGGATGTGACTCAAATGACTCAAGACTTTACTTCAACTTGTCTTGATTTACTTGAGACTTGCACTTGTCTCGAATGACTTGATGCTTGACTTAAACTTGTCTCAAATAACTTGAGACTTGTCTCATAAATGTTATAAATGTCTTGACCCTTGACTTATTAGACTTGTCTGAAATGTCTTGAGACTTGGATTTTCCCCAAAAACCTTAAGGACTCTGACTTTGAGAGGACAAGTTAGCCATTTTATCTAATAAATATCAATTAAGAAGAAGCTGTTTGCTCTAATTGACACCTGAGCTTAATTGACCCTTACTTTGTGATTTAACACTGACTTGTCCTCTGAGAGCACCAACACAAAGGCATTATAGTGCAAGATATAATGCTGTGTGACTGCACCTTCATTTATTCTTTCTCTGTTCAGGCAACAGTGCTATTCCCCAATGCATCTGTGTGAAAAGGGGAAAGTGTTACGACTCGATTCCTCCATTTGCGGATAATTCTTCAGGTCACGAAGCTTCACGTATGAACAGGAGGCCTTTATTTTCTGTTCACTTTACTAAATATAGTTTTGCCTTTGTCATATTTTTCACACTTCAGCGAATTACACGGGGGCTTGAACCTAGTGCATTCATGATGACTGACTGCACTAAGCCACGCATACATTATTGCAGGATTCGTCATTCATATTTAACACTTAGTTAACAAAAGCCTTTTATACCATCCCACCCAACCCGTAAGAAACATAAGTGCTAATCCCCAGTGTATCAAACACATTAATCAGATGTTTTATTCAGCTTTTCCTCATGATCATATATTTTACAAGTCAGTCATTAGAAGTCACGCCAACAAATATTTGACATTTTACAGCAAACATTACCCTTTGTTTTCCAAGAGCTTTTGGCACAAAGTACAAATGGTGTTGGGGAAGTGTAGGCGTGCTTTCTGGTGTGTTTTTCTGACAGGCGGGTTACAGGTCAATGAATCTATAAAGGAAAGAGAGCGTTCAAAAATATCAATGAGGAAACAGTTCACACAGTGCACTCTACCACACTGGGAGATCATAAATCAATATAAACCTAAGGTCCATGATACACAAACTTTGCTTGAGGCAATGTTCAGCAGATATGTGCGTTGGCTAATCCATCGCTTTGTGTTCTCTCTGTAGTTAGATTTGTGATTCATCCACAGTGAATTTCCTACTCTTTGTTCTCTTTTTTTCTTTATTCTTGTAACATTTCCACATAACTGTCTAAATTGGATGCAATCAATTTGGTAATTATTGGGTTAGTGTCTTTCTATATTGTGACCGAAATAGAGAAAAGAGGTGTTTGAGGGAGCAACATCAGAAAGAATGTGAGAATTTTTGGTTAATTAACTGTCGGCAGTCCCCAGACTTCTGTTCTCCTGTGGCCTTCAAAGTCTTTACTCAGCGACGTCCACCTGTGTGTCCGCTGGCATTTCTTCATTTTAGTTTCCTTGGTGATGGAGGATGGAAGCCGGAGAACACAACATCGTCAGAGCCCGTCCAAATTGGGGCCTCGGCCCTTGCGTAGTGTCCTTCCTCTCTGTACCGTGCTATCTCTCTCACCTTTACTGCACATCTGCCAATCTTTAGAATGTGACATTTTGTGAAATGCTCTGGTTCAGTTCGTATTATGGTATGGACACATACCATAATAATAATAATGGTCTTTGTTTCCCATTCAGAGGGGAGTTTGAACTGCAGGTATGGTGAGGAGCTTGAGAACATGAGGCCACGGTGTCTGATATGAGCAGAGGAAAATAAATGAAAACTAAAAACAGACAGATTCCACTCCCACTATAGCTTGACTGTGTGAACATAAGCCAACTGCATGATTGAGAGTATATTTAAAATATAATACACACCTGTGAAAATGTGTTTCTTTGCATAACATGGACATGTTTGCATCAGAGAGAAATTAATTTTGTTTTTCTGTTTGTTTTTTTAAAATCTTGATTGTGTCATCCTGACAGATACATGTCATATTGTAAATAGTGTGTATATTTACAGTATATGTATATACACATCAAATCTGATATACCTGGTTCCCCAACAGATGTCGGGAGTTTCCTTTTGTAGCTTGCCAATAGTGTAAAGAAGGCCTCCTAGGAAAGTTCAGCACTTCGTTTTATTCCTGTGTTTCTGTAGAAGGTCCGTTATTTTCATGGACTCCACAAATTGTGTTAAATTCCTGTATGAGTTGAAGAATTTTCACCACAGCCAACATTCTTTGAAGCAGCTGTGTATAATTTATATATTTTGTATTATCAATATTTTCCCACCAGTCACTCTCCTGATCAACATCAGATTCAGGTGTGCAGTTCAGCGCTCTGTAAATCAAAGAAATGATTTTAAATCCATGTCAGAGTATTGGGGTTACAACAGATGGGAGTTGTAAAGCCTTCGTATTGGTGTCAGTGCATTCAGGCATCACTGAAGTAGGATCTGGTTTTAACGTGTATCTTGTACAGCTCCTCTTCCAGGTCCATATTAAAGTGATTCTAGTCCAAATGTACCCCTTTCCTTGAACACTACTCTCAGAAAGACAGATCCTTTGGTCGCTGATGATATGATGCAACCATAGGGACAAAAAGTACCTCTTGACCTGAAATTTGTGACCATCCGCTCCCTTTCACTACACCATCCCCTCGCTGCGTTTGCTCCTCCACACCACCAGGGCCGTCATGAGGAGAGTGACCAGGATGGGAACCACAATGAAGGGACCCAGGATGCGATTGGGTGGGTCCTTCAGAAGCCGTCCAGACAGCGAGCAGTCGTGGAAGTAGTGCTGGTGGACTCGGATGAAGAATTCATCCACCAGCCTGTTGGGCCAGAAGCAGTCCATCTTCCATGCCACCAGGAACGTGCAGTTTGTCAGCTCGCCATAGAGTCTGTATGTTGGTGACACAAGAGGAAGAAAAACACGGTGAAAACACTTCCCCTTTGTTACTGTTGTCATACCCGTCCAACTCTTTGTTCTCACACAGCACATGTACAGGTGCCACTTGAAACTTTTGGTAATTCCTGAAACAATGGGTCCTTAATTTCAGCTTCTAATGTATTGCCAGTGACTGCTGATTTTGACAGCTGTCACTGGCAGATTTGATCACCTATGGCTATCTAACCAATGAAGCTAACACCTCCATGAGAGAATGATGCCTCTGGCTGACTTTTTAATGCTAGAAACATATCAAATCTGACAGTTATTTTGTTCTGCTTAGCTTACAGACTTGTTCATATTTTCACAGCGAAAATATTTTTACATTTAACGTTACAGAAGAGAAGGCTTTTAGTATGACCGATGTGTTTGAAAAAAGGTAAGACTATCTTGGTTAAAGTCAATGTTGGTCCAAAGCAAATCCAATAAAGATCCTAAAGCTAATGGTTTGCTAATTCTTGGGCTTGGAGGCAATGCTACTGTAGTTTACTACTCTAGAGAGTAAGCTAGTTTCCGAGACAACGTCAGAGCAAATAAACATTTCGTCCATTCCTTATACTTTTTCTCATTAGTTTTTGTTTTGGAGAGGCTAAACAAAGACATTAACCCTCCAAAGTCTTTAAGTGTTGAGTATCTCTCTAGCTACAGGGCTGTTTCTACCACTTTGGCATGTGGAGGAAGTCAATGCTTTACATGACTTGACATGCTTAGTTAGGGTTGCTAAGCTGTTCGGGGGAGGGGTTTAGTGAACGGTCAATAACAAGATTCACTGTAAAAACAACTCTTCCTTTATTTTATCTGTTGCTACATGGTATTTTACTGTATGTGTTGACAAAATCTAGTCTACTACCCTTGATTGTATAAAAAGCCTTTTAAGCCCTATTGGGTGATCTTTAAAATGCATAGTGATCAATGCAATGCATAAGCCTGTTTCCTTTCTAATTAAAAATGACAGTGAAAAGATTTACGGGTTTCACCTTGTACAACAATATGAGAATTTATTGCTTTTTAAAAATATTTTATAGGATAATCATGTATAGTAACATAATTACATCCCCTTGGGTTGGATGGAAGACAGGACAAACACATTACCAGATTGTCCAGGTGGCTCAGATGCAAAACACTTGTCCTTCACTGTTAGAGACTATTATGGAAAAAAAACAGAGGGAGGGGTCGTACTCATAGTCTATTGTTTATACCTAGTGCGTGTGTGTGTGTTGCTTCTCCATGGTGAGGTGATCCCAATCATAATTGAGTTAATGACCCATGATTATGACACACGGAGCACACAGAGGATACTGTGAATGCACAAATTAATGTCGTAACACATATGGGCCTATAAGGTTCAGGCAGCATCTACACATCTAGCAGACTCAGAGGAAAATTGGCTTTACATTTGGAGTTGAGTTTTTGGCCATTTGAAGTCCAATATTCACTCTCCTCTTAGCTCTGTTTTGGTCTCCATCACTTTCTGAGGGAAATATGTTTAGCCGCTAAATACTCCACAATGTTCACCAACTAGTCGCAAACTTCGATTGCCGGCCATTTGGCGCTGGGCAGGTAGCATGCAGCAGAAAAAAAGTGCAGTGAGAATGAATCAGTAAAGTTGCAGACCATAAAACCAGAAATATTCTAAAATGCACTATAAACTTGAGGGGAACTGCAGAGACCGGTGATAATTCTCTAATTCTCTAACCTGCAAGTGGCCCCTTTCACATTACATATAGTAAACTGACCCAGTGTTAACTTAAAAGTATCAATTAGTGTGATATATAATACAATGAAACATATTTAATATCCAAACCTTGTCCCTAGTGGAGAACATCTGCTTTGCTCGTCCTCTCTGATCTGCACAGCTCAGATTTAATATTTTCGTTTACTAATCTAACAGTCTTTGATGATTCATCCCAACATGGAGTCTTTCTTCGTGGAAGTTTTGTAGATATAAACAGCTCAGGGATTGTTGGCATGAGACCAGCGGTGCAGAGCATTCTGGTTGCTCCGTGTAGCAACTTCACTCTGTGTGAGTGTGTACTTTCTCCCTCTGCTTTTTCCTTGACGTTTTTACAAATCAGTCGCAGAGGAGAATAAAATAATTCTGGTCCCGCTGCCGGTCTAGTGAGCACCCAGGTTTCCAGGGATGTTTATGAGTCAGCGACTGAAATAAGTCGCACCAGAGTCAGGGCAGGGGCGGTGGATATAGTTACTAGTTCACCCCAGCTAAGGTTAGATTAAACCTGTGTGCAGAGTGTGTACGTTTGTGTGTGCTGAATGCAGTTTATATGTAATTTCTCTTAGTAGACATTTCATTTTTCAGAAAGTCATGGCAGTAATACAAGGTTAAACTAATGGTAATTATTAAAGAAATGTCACATAGCATTCAGCTCTATCTTCAATTGGCAACCCAGTCACCACGAAACAATGTTGACATTGTACGTTTCTGCCAACCAGGGTTACGTTGAACGTCAACGCTTTTGAATTTCAAAGAGTGACGCGCAGAGCAAGTGAGGTAGTATATCGAGCGAACGTTATTGAGTGTTATGTGGCATGAACAAACACAGGACTTTCACACAGGAGACCGCTGTCCAAGTCCCATGCGAAACCAAAAGTAAATCCTGACTTTGCACTTGTTACGGACATTGTTAATTAAGCTTGTTTAGTAAAGTTGTTTAGCTTGTGACGTAAGAAATTCTCCAAAGGGCAGTTATTAATATTTCCGCTGTTTATTTCCGCTATTTATTTATGCTAGGTACTGTTCTTATGTTACGTTATTACGTTACAGTGTTACGTTACATTGTTACATTATTATTTAAACACAAACCATGATGTTGTTTTCTAACCTTAACCAAGTAGTTTAGTTGTCCAACCTAACCTATCATTTCACAACATTAACCCAAGTGTCATTGTGTGTTTCTGCAAGCTGACACAAGGCTGATATGAATCGTATACATGAAACATATTTTTGGTTTAGAAACATCAACATTCAACGTATCCCATAGTTTTCAGAAATAAACAATGCCAACATTTTTTTTCTGGTGACTGGGTTGAACATCAACCCAGTTCAATCAACCCTTTGTGCTGTGACTAAAACAGTCACTAGATGTGTGCTCATGTCTTTCTAACTTTTCATCCAGAGTGACATTAACCAACATTATCTCTCTGTGAGGCCACAGGGCAAGTGTATGTGGGAGTATTTTCCAGGCCGGAATAACATGCCTGTATGTATTATGTATGTATTGCCCATGACGTATTTATACATTTTCTTCCAGTTAATGAGAAAGAAGGAGAGGGGTAAGTCACAGTAACAAAAAGTAAGGGAGTCAGGAAGAGTGTGTAAAATTGAATTCCCATCTTATTTCTTTATTTCTATCTGAAGTGCTGGCATCCGGAGCTGATCTCCATCCTAAAATTAAGCGCCATGACCAATTGTATTACCACGGATAGTCTGGCCTTAATTGTATACTAAAGGAGTGCAACCTGAGGATTAGACGTGTCAGCAGTTTTGGTACTGAGACACTGAGACCATTATTATGATATTATCTTAATTATGAGATAAAAAGTAAAAATTATGAGATAAGAAGTACGCATGCGCTTCAGTGACGCCTTTATATCTTTCTTTTTTCTTGTAAATTTTTTTTTTTTGGGATGCCGGAAATGGGCTTCCATAATAAACAGCACCAACTTCAGTGTGGTAAAAAGATTACTGCTGGCTACTGGTGCAGTAACATTCCAGATGAGCATTTGCAGAAATCAATTTAAATTAAAGCTGCGAGCAGCATTGATCGGGCCCTCGCAACTTCACGCACATCGAGGGTACTGGCAGGACTCTGGCCATGCATTTCTGTGACCGTCATACACTGCGTGCACAAGTTAAACGGTATTTCCTGGTACTGGCAGGACTCTGGGTGACGCGGCTATGAATTTCTGTGACCATCACACTCTGTGTGCATGAGTGAGATATTTCCTGCGTAGACCAGCAGTGTAGCAAGATCATGTTGCCAGGTCTTAAGCCTCAAATGTTTTGAGTGTACATCCGATACAATCATAAATGTAAGCCTTTAAAGATCATTAAGAAAATGAATGTGTGTGAATGTGCTTCAGTGTTTGTAACATAACAGACTGTCAGTTTACTGGGATGGGGTTCAACTCCCTGCAGTGTCCTGCTGATTGGATTTGGACTTACATGAAAGTTAACAAAACAGTAGTGCCATTTGCTGTTACTTGAACACTTTAATTTAACACTGTTTTCATTTTAAGTTCTTCTGCAACTTTAGATTGTAGTGTGAAGCATTCATTATAACGTTTAACCTGATTCTGATGTAGAAGCTCTGGACAGATCATTTATGCTAATGCCCACCGACAGTGGCTTGACAACCACTTTTATCAAATTTCTGCTCTCCAAGCATCTTACTATGCACATATTTAGTTCAGAGAAGTCATTCTTTTCTCATGGTGTGCCCACAAACCCTTTTAATAAGTTCAGTGTTTGGGCCGCTGTATTTATAGAATCCTCCTTACAGCCATGGTCATCAGTAGGTGGCGCTATGACTATGACTTAATATTGGCATGCAGAAGTCCTAAAATCATGACCGTAATCAAGCATGTCAAGTTTGGGAGAGTTTTGACAAAGTACAGTTGAGTTACAACAGCTTGATGGATGATGGTGAGCCATGTAAAATGGCTGCCACACCAAGTCCATGTTGTTCAATGAAACTTCAAGCTTTTAGTAACTTTTAATCGCTAAGGTCTTTAGATTGCTCTGACCAAATTCTAAGCTGATCGGATTAATTCCCTAGGAGGAGTTCGTAGTACAGCACCTGGAAATAGAATTAAAACACGAGAAATTCATACAAAATTCAAAATGGTTCACTTCCGGTTGGGTTTAGAGCATGGACCCCTAAGACTTTTTTTTAAGTCAACATGTGATACATCTGCTTACCAAATTTTATAGAT